TCTCCTCAGTATACAACTGAAAGAAATGAAGTCAGCATATGAAAAAGATACCTATATACCCACATTTATTGTGGCACTATACACAATAGCCAAGATACAGAATCAGCTTAGGTGTACATCAACAGAAGAATGGATAAAGAAAATATGGTATATAAGTATAATAGAACATTATTCATCTATAAAGAGGAATGAAATCTTGTTATTTGTAGGCATGTGGATGAAATTGGAAGACATTATGTTGAGTAAAATAAGCCAGTAACAGAAAAATAAGTATGACATGTATTCTCTTGTATGTGGAAACAGAAAGGAAGGAAGAAAGGAAGGAAGGAAGGAAGACCTTCTGAGGTTTCTCATATACTCCATTCCATCCTATGGAAATCACTGGCCCGGTTATACGCTTGATATAAAAATACTTCATATTATATTGGAATAACTCTCAGTCACAGCTAGCAGCTAGGAGCAGCTGGGAAGTGCTTGAAATACCCACGTTTGTTCAGGCCTGACAGGAGGGCCTACAGGATGGGGTGAAACCACATACTCAGCACTTGGGGTTAGCCTTGCCAAACTACCAGGCCAGGAAACCAAGAGTCAGGGGCTTCAGGGCATAAAACCCCTGACTTAGTAAGGGCCAAAGACCCTTCCAGATTGCTTTCCACCATGACAGCAATGTTTAGAGCATCCTCATAGTGTGGTTACATTAGGCATAAGATGAATGGCTTATGGATACTATCTTGCTTGTGTATGATTGATGGGCACACCCCACTCGAACCCTATAACAGTTGTGTGCATTCCAAAAAGAAACTGAGCTACTGGACCACGACCTGAGGTGGGTCTCCAGCCAGTTCTCTCACCAGCTCCCAGAGTCTGTGTGTTGATTCCACATCTCTACCCCCTGCGACAAGGTAGCCGAGTGACCAACGACCATGAACGGGGATGTAGTAACACATACAATTTGGTGCCACAACGTGGTCTTTCATTTTGTGTTCCATGTACTGTCAGTTCCTTGAAGGTGAGCAAGGAACCCCCTCCTCTACCCCCTTTCCTTGTCCCTGTCATACCATTGGTACCCTGAATTGAGGCACACACCATCATAAGGGCTGACGACACTTTATGACCCCTCCTCCCCCCTGGTTCACCCAGTGAATTCACATAAGGGACTGGTCCTTCCAGAATTCAGAACCTGGGTTTTCTCTGTTAAAGGGAACTCCGCTCTGGAGACACCATGTAGGTATAAGGCCTTGATCTAACAAGTCAAGGAAGTCCCCCACTAAGCACAAAACATTGGACGCTAAACACATCTTTTGTTTTTCATAGTCAGGGCCTTCATGTCAACATCTTGAGCCCCTATATTAGGTATCTTGTCAAGTTAAAGACATCGCTTTAAGAACTATTACAAGAAAAAATGAGGAATTGTTCAGGAATATGATCCAAGGCCCCCATGAATGGTTTCCTGACTTCTTATCTAGAGTAATCCAGGCACTGGGGAAGCTCATTCAACCTGGCCCTACTCAAGGCTCATTAGTTAAACAACTGGCATGGGACTGCAGGAATTAGAACTGCAATTGCCCCCGTATGCAGTGAATCCCTTTCAAAATGGATCTCTGCTACAAAGGAAATAGCCCCCTCTTCAGGGCCCATTCAGGCATTAACAGCTGCAGTTAACAAACTCAGTTAACAAAAATGGTGGACCTTGGGCTGGGGATGTGGCTCAAGCGGTAACATGCTCACCTGGCATGCGCAGGGCATTGGGTTCGATCTTCAGCACCACATAAAAATAAAATAAAGATGTTGTGTCCACTGAAAACTAAAAAAAAAATATTAAAAAATTCTCTCTCTTAAAAAAAAAATGATGGGCCTTCCCATCCCATTTGCTAGGGCTGTGATCAGCTAGGCCACACTGAGGGTTACTGTCCTAAGCTTCCCTGGCCCCCAAACACCCTGCCCTAGACGCAAAAAAAAATCATCTCCTATCTACTAAATGTTTTAAAATTATGAATGTTCCATATCTATTAAAATTGACAAAGGGTCAACCTATACTAACAAGACATTTTTAGCAATTTGCAATGGTTGTCATATACATTACTTAATTGGGATTCCCTATATCCCTTAGACTCAAGGCATTATAGTAAGAACATACAAGAAACTATACCAACTCCCCTCATGATGCCTTGAAAATAATCTTATTTGCTTTAAATTTTCTTTCAATTTCAAAATTTTCTACTGAAATAGCAGCCCATGTGCATTGGGCCTCCCTCTCGAAGTCCTCCCATCTACCTATGGTCTCATGAAAGGATGCCATAACAAATGCAAGGGATTTTCTGGGGCCCCTCTTAAATGTAACACCAGCCACCAATTGCCAAGCTCTGGAAATTGAGCCTAGAAGAAAGAAAGAGACCACCATGACCTTCCCACCAGAGGGCTCACAAGATAATCTGGGGTGATATCAAAGCCCTATCAGATCAAGCTCAGACCATGTCACCTCCCGAAGACCAGAGCCCTGGTACTCTCTTATTGCTTATGTGTGTAATTATAACCTACAACTCACAGGTAAGTACACAACTGGTAAGTATGGAGGAAGAAAGGCCTCTGCCTAATGGCCTGATAACTCAAGGCCTTATGCTGGCCTGTCCAAGCAAAATGGACACACTTCAAAGTATGTCCCATGAGGGAAAAATTGCTTTGCAGAAAGCTATCACTCATGAGTGGCTGTCTGTGGGACAGTTCTCTAGTGGAAAGCCTTGAGCACCACCTAGTGGCAAAAACCCTTCAGTGAGCAAAATACTCATGCCACTGCAAGTAAAAAACCAAGAGAGCCATCCATGCTCAATTAATCATGATCAGGATCTTGTACATACTTCTCTCTCAAATCTTGCAGAATACAACCCAAGGACAAAACTCAGGAGGACAACAGGAGCCCCCCAGATCAACATCATCATCAGGCTTGTGGTCCTCACAGCCACAACTGCAACTGCTGCACTCATCACTCTCCTGCACCCGACCAAAAGGACCACACACAAACGACTGAAAACAACTTATGCTGTTGCTGGGACTTTAATTGCATTTCCTCTCCTTTTGCATCAATGCAGAAAAAGACCCCTTTATGCTCCTGTGCATCATTCTGTCATTTAGCCTGCAAGAACATGCTTGGTGGGTGGGGGCTCCATATCCCGGGATTCTTTTACCCGTTGGTTTGCATGGTACTGTATTGCCTTTCTTGTTTGCTACTAATGTTTCCTTTCGATGCCCAGTTACATCTGACAAGGCACCTTTGGAATATGTCACTCTCACTTGATCATTCATGGGCCTTTAATATATTAAGGCATGTGTCTAGGGCACAGAGGTTGTGTCAGTCTACAATTTGCCTTCATAATGATATTCTTTGGGAGCCAGGAATAGAAGGCATTATAAAGGTGTTCAGCCACTCTCCTTAGAAGGAGAAGCAAAAGTAGTCTCTGTCAGTGATCTGCCTAGTGGCATGACCATGACCCCTCATGCTAGAGACTCATGTTATTGGCCCCAACCCATTCTGCAAAGATGTCCATGGAGAAAATTTAAAGATATCTATGAAGGTATATCTCTCAGAGCTATATCTTGGAGAGATTGTCTCTCCCTTTCCAGACAGTATTTCACTTTTGATGAGCTTATTAGTTGGTCCAGACCCTATAGAAAAGGTGGACGGAAAATGGAATTTTCAACAGAAACAAATACATTAATATTTAAATATCATACAGATTGGAGAACAAATGCTCAAAATATAAAAGAAAGCCAGTCAGGAGACTTTTTGCAATTAGGCAAACAGTTCTTATGTGGTGGTTACAAATGTATAGATATCAGAACTATTGTCCCCATGGGTGTCATTTGGTTTAATGGTTCTTTTGAAAAACTCTCAGCTAAACGTTTCACTAAAGGCCATGTATGGGTTAAGCCACCCTTCTTCTTTGTAACTTCCACCCAAAATCACAAAAATGGTCATCTTAATTGTGACGATTCCCAATATGGGTTAACCAATTGCTGGAATTCCTCTATTAAGACAGTACTGCTAATGAGAACACCCCCTAGGTTATGGTTTCCAACAGAGGATGACTCCTCCATTCAGGAGGTGAACTTTACGAAAGATATTTCCCTTCCCAGAGTTAGGCGAGATTTGGGGATTACTGCTGCCATTATAGCTGCCTCCCTCACTGTGGTCGCAGTAGCTACCACCACTGGTGTACCTCTGACCCAGTCCACAGCAAATGCTGCAACCATTAATCAGGTAGTGCAGTGCTCCACTAAAGCCCTGACCACCCAGGAGCGACTAAACCTGCATTTGTAAGGAGGTATCTTAATGTTACAACAACAGATTGACCTTATTGATGAGAAAATTGATATGCTTCAATTGAATGTTACAGTACCCCTGCAGTCCTCAATTTTTGCATGATTGTCAAACCCCTGTCTTGGTAAAAAATGTAACAGAAGCTCGGCTTGAATTGGCAAATAGACTTAAGGGACCTTAGGACTTTTAGAAATTTCACTATGATGCTACATGCTCAGATTATCAGTCTAAAAGAAACTAGAGCAGGGCTAATTCTTAACCCCTCAATCTTAGAGCTTCTATGGGATAAATTGTCAGCTTTAATTGACCCTACTAATTGGATCCTCCCTGGTATTGGCATAGTTTTTCTTGTTTTAGTATAAGTTATTTTAAGATGCTTCCAAAAAAGACTCAACAAAATAGAAACAAAACAAGCTATGTTAGTTCATGCATGTAAGGAAAGTCAAAAGGAAAATAATGATTCACCTGCATCTGTATGGATGGCGGCTATGGACAGGATCTAAGTAGTACCAACTAAGGGCCAGTTTTCTATGAAGGATCATGCCCTGAATCTTAGCACTGTCCTCCTTTTCATCTATCTGTGTCTCTCAGTTCTGTCACTATATTACTGTTTGTCTGTCTATGGCCTTTCTACTCCCTTCTTGAATGCAGCCTCATCAGCCCAGTGCAGTGAGCTGGGCCCTCCATGGAGAAGAACCCTGAATTTCCTGATCCTAAGGTAAATACTGGCATGGAGGCCACGGGGGCATTATCTATCAAGGAGACAGAGATCTCTCTCGGGGACAATGCCTTGCTCCACATCACCCTGTTTGGCCCCGGAGGATGGCTAGTTAGCCAAAGATGTATAAGACTCCTCAAGGGAGGGACAACCTAAGACAGCCACAGTAGCAGAGGGGCCATCAGGAGAAAACTTGGGGACCAACAGAAGTGAGGCACAGAACCTCGCCCCCCCCACATACACACTTGTGCAAAGGCCTAAGTCTTCACCCCTTCTGAGAGAGGTCTCCTGCCCCCATGGCTGCTTTGCCCCCATGCCCAGCTCAGATAGGAACCCAAGTGACAGACAGAGACCTAGTCAGCAGCAGCTGCCCTCTCACCACAGCAGGAAACAACTGCAGCTACAGGAATGGGTCATGTTTGCATGTTTTCTCTTTTTTCTTTCTTGGTTCTCCCCTCTTTTCCTATGCTTTTTCCTTTTCCTTTCTTCTCTCATCATGGTTCTCCTTTGGCAACAAATTTAATGAAAAGGGAAGAAATGTTGGAATAACTTTCAGTCACAGCTAGCAGCTACAAGCAGCTCAGAAGTGCCTGAAATACCCACCTTCCTTCAGGCCTGACAGGAGCGCCTACAGGATGGGGTGAAACCACATACTCAGCACTTGGGGTTAGCCTTGCCAAACTACCAGGCCAGGAAACTGAGAGTCAGGGGCTTCAGGGCATAAAACCCCTGACTCAGTAAGGGCCAAAGACCCTTCCAGATTGCTTTCCACCACAACAGCAATATTTAGAGCATCCTCATAGTGCGGTTACATTAGGCAGAAGATGATTGGCTTATGGATACTATCTTGCTTGTGTATAATTGATGGGCACACCCCACTCGAACCCTATAACAGTTGTGTGCATTCCAAAAAGAAACTGAGCTACTGGATGATGACCTGAGGTGGGTCTCCAGCCAGTTCTCTCACCAGCTCCTGGAGTCTGGAGTCTGTGTGTTGATTCTGCATCTCTACCCACCGTGACAAGTTAGCCGAGTGACCATGCACCACAAAGGGACATAGGGACACATAAAATATTATTAATTTTTATTTACAAAAGGATGTTGAGATGTTCCATGTTTATATTTCCTCATATTTTAAATTTCATCAAATGATAAAAGAATGTATTGTTTGAAAAAGATCCACTATGGAAAATTTGCCACAACCAGTGCAAGACCAGAACCTGCTGCTTCTTAGACACTAGACTTAATTAGTTGTGTTATTGCATACCCAAAGTACCCCCCAATGGTTTTATTCACAAGTGGTATGTTAGGGTAGTTAAGAAATTGGGTTCTCAAGTCAGACAGGACTAGGTAAGTCCCAGTTCTGATACTAGTGAGCTCCATTACTATTACAAAGTATCATAATTATTTTTCACTTTTCTTTCCTTATCTGTATAACAACAATGGGTATATGGTATACCAATAGTGCTTTTGTCATGGGATTTGTTGTTAAAAACTAAATATAGTTTTCTTGTTTTGTTATGATCTAAGGATAAAACCCAAGGATGCTTTAATACTGACCTGCATCGTAGCCCTTTTTACATATTTTTTTTTCTTTTCATGTTTTTGTGTGTTTGTTTGTTTGTTTTTGGTTGGGGTCTTTTTAACTTCAGGAGATCTGAATAACAAAGAAGTATGGGTTGATTAAATTCTAAATTGACAAAGGCTATCAATCAGCAAAGGATGATTCAATATGGTGATCAAGATGCATGTAGGTCAGATACAAATTTCAGCCCTGTAATATTCCTTAGGGAAAAATCAAGCACTATCTTCAGACACTGCAATTTAAGGTGCTCTTCATAAACACTGTGAAAAGTGCTCAGGTCCAGCAAATGTACTTAATATTAACAACTATCATGGATACTTTGGCTTGGTAAAAACTTCTTGTTTTAGTCAGCTTTTTCACTGCTGTTACTAAAATACCTGACAAGAACAATTTTAGAGGAGGAAAAGATTATTTGGGGACTCATTGTTTCAGAAGTCTCAGTTCATAGATAGCCAGCTCCATTTCTTTGAGTGAGAGGTGAGGCAGAACATCATGGCAGAAAAGTGTGGCAGAGGAAAATAGCAGGGAGCATAGTTCCAGGAAGTAGAGAAAGAGACTTCATTGAGCCAAGTATATACCCCAAAGGCAAGCCCCAGAATGACCCACCTCATCCAGGCACACCCTACCTGCCTTCAGCTATCACTTGGTTAATTCTTATCAGGGGATTAACTCACTGATTAGGTTAAGGCTCTCATAACCCAATGACTTTACCTCTAAGCATTGTTTCACACATACACTCACATCCACATTCAAACTGATTTATTTATTGTATTTTTTAATATTTATTTTTTAGGTGTAGATGGACACAACACAATGCCTTTATTTTTATGTGTTGCTGAGAATCCAACTGGTTCTGCCTGTGCTAGGGGAGCGCTCTACCACTGAGCCACAATCCCAGCCCCAGTTTTTTTTTTTTTTATGTAAACTACTATCGGAATGCATTGTCTCACTACCTTTTGTTTTTGTATTGGCTGTTTCTTTTGCCTTTATGAGAAGCTAAGTACTTTTGACAGAGATAGAAACACCCTTTACCAAAGAATATTATTGACTTCTGATTTAAATTATTCAGATCATTACATAGTTTCTCTAATTTCTTGAATCACCCCAATTCAAATAAAAGCATCATTAGGTCTTATTATTTTATCTTTTGGAGGGAATCCTTTCAACTATAATAATTCATTTTCACTTTCTTTTCTCAGTCCACCTTACTGAAATTTACTGTAGACCCACTGACCACATTTAATAACCAGATATCCACTCCATGCCAACTGTTCTCTTTAGAGATTTCTAAACTTATTTTAAGTAAATTTAGCAGTCTCCTTTTAATCTTTATTACTCTAAAGCTTTCATGCCTGACAATTATAATTATCACTAAGAAAAAGACCTGTCTCATTTCTTGGCTCTGAGATATGATAATATTCTCTTACTCTTCTTTAGACTTCTCTAGCTCATCTTCTTTCTCTCATTTTCTGCAAATGTTATCCATGGCTCTTCTTTTCTCATATTATGGGTGCTCACATAAACTCAGTCTCATAGCTTTAATTGTCACATCTATATCTGTTGATTAAAAACAAATAAATCCCCAAAACATCCTGTTGCTGAAACAGAGCTAAATGCATTACTTATAGTAAGAGAACGTACAACCATGACAGGATCTTAGAAGTGTCTTGGAAGGGGATGATCAAATATAGGATTTCTAGAGACTGGATTTTTGGTTTTTACAAAGGTCTTTGCATGTAGGAATCTGAATGAAATTGCCAAAACTTGTAATGTTGATTTTTAGATTGGTGAATATGCAAAGCAAGATTTTTGAAGAGTGTTGATGAGTAATCATTTGATAAGCTAGCAATTTGTCCATTGACTGATTCATCATCCTAAAAATGAGGACTTTACCCTGATGAGTAACTTCTTACCTTTAGAAAGACAGCTAGTTGAGCAGCTTATTGTTTAGATTTATATTTTTTGCAACTTTTTCTACTAGGCAAGAATTTCCTGGAATAGTAATGTCAATATCAACAATATTAATTATCTTTATTATAATTATTAGTGCATAGCAATAGTACAAAATAATGGGTTACATTATGAAAATTTTATACATGCATACAACATACTTCAATCATATCCACCCTCCCTTTAATCTTCTTTTATCCTCCTACCCTCACACCCTGGTCCCCTTCCTCTTTCCTTTTTATTTCTAGATTCCAAATATAAGAGAAAACAGGTGATACTACTTTTTATAAGTCTGGCTTATTTCACTTAACATGATGGTCTCTAGTTCCATCCATTTTTTGCAAATAACATAATTTCATTTTTCTTTATGACTCAATAATACTGCATTGTGTATATATACTACATTTTCTTTATCCATTCACCCCACAGCCTTCATTCCTGATCCTATTAAGAAGTATGCTTACAGGAAGCTTGATCTCACTTAGACTGTAATCATTTTAAAATAGTACCTATAAGACAGTCACATTTTCTCTGGCTGCCTACTATACCAGCTACTATCCCCAGTTTCCCTTTTATCAACAGCACTAATATTTTTCAGGAATCTTAAGTTAGAAACCTAGGTACTATATCTAACTCCTCTTTCAAAATGACTCAATATCCAACTAGTCACCAATTGCTACCTATTTATAAATCTCTGATGAAATCCTCTAAAAATGATAAAAATTGCCTAAAAGAAGAAGTAATCGACCAGCCAGGCTATTCCACACATAGATTGAGAAAAAATGACACTTCTTGAATGAAAAAGCAGATATGCAGGTTAAAAAATGTAACTTAGCCTGAGTTTAGGGTTATGCAATTTCCAAAACTGTAATATAGAAAGAAAAGTTTAAATTTCAAGATGATTGCTGGGAAAGAGAAATTTGGAAACCACCAGTAAAACTGAAAAAGTGAAATTTGCAATGCTATAAAATGTCTTGATCAAAATCAACATCCAGTTTCAGGTCCATACAAAGTCAATTTCAGTATGGAATTGGGGTTGAATGATATGTAGGTTAATGAACAAATACCCCACATAGAATAGAAGTGTAAATATTGGTTGAGTTGAAATGATGAACACTCACCATTCTTTGTGAAGTTTTCAGGAGTAAAGACAAAGTATTTTTGCTCTGTTCTAACATCACCAAAGATAGACCTATAATGGAACTCATATGCCTGCTGAGTTTCTTCAAGAATATCAACCCCACTCTTCCTGTTGACTGCCCAATATTCTGGTCATGTTTACTTTGATATTTGGAAACTGATGATTCTGGTTCCACTTTGGCAATGAGTTGTCCCATAACAAACACTCCTGAGCTATTTTGGCAGTTCTGTAAATGTCAGGTTTTTCTGATAAAAATGAGTAGCCTCCAGTGATTGGAAAAAAAATTATGGAGGCTGCCTATTTTTTAAATCCAAAAGCCCAATTACCAGAAGAATATGATCCCAACAAAGGTACTAATATTTCTTAGCATTAGGTTATAGATAAAATAATCTTCTGTCTCCTCAATTCCACAATGTATGAAAGGCACACTCTGAAAAAAAATACAATT